GGATACGAGCCAAACCAGTTGAAGTTTTGCAGATTGACCTAAAGGGCAGCCATGTGGTTCAGACCAAGAAATGGTCCATTGAAGAGACCGAGGTGAATGTTTGACCCATTATGACAGACGTGCAACGCTCCGCATTGGTGGAACTACTGAACAAATACAGAGCGCGCTTTGCCATGTCGCCAAGCGAGTTATGAGACGCATCACTCCAAGTAATACACATCGTTGAGGCCCCAGGAAGCACGCCTTTTTCTACACGAACATATCGAGCGAACGCCGAAGGTCGAGAAACAATAAACAAGATTGTTAAAGGGTGGAAAAACCTCGGAATAGTTACCGAGACAACCTCCGACTATGCTAGTCCTGTGCGAGTAGTGGGAAAGAAGAATGGAGAGAAGCGACTGGTGATTGACTGTAGAAGATTGAACGCTCACACTATGAAGGAGAAGTACACCGACACCAACTTCATGATCGCCAAGCAGGCGAGCGATGGGCAAGATACTCGGGAGCTAAAGGGAAGCTCCCGTGGAACACACAGAAAAGGCACTGGTGCAGACGGGTAGCGAGCCATGCTTGCCGATGCCGGCCGGTCCCCATGGGCGATTCCTTCATCGGCATAAAACGGTCTCCGATGAGGATGCCGATGAAGCCGAGGATGCCTCGTCGCGCCACCACCTCGAAGAGAAACTTTGACATGCAGAAGCTGGAATCCGGGCTTTACAGAGTTCAGAACACGGTGTTCGTGAGCAGGCCGTCATCGCTGGTTTTCCGGTTGTAATAATGATAGTGGTGAGAACCGTGACGGTGATGATGTCTTCGCCACCACTGCTACAACAAAAAGACAACAACTGGCATCTTGCCCATTGTGTAAGCAAAAGCGAAGGACATCTTAACCCAATCCCACCTGGGCAGCACCCCTTTGAAACTGTTTACCTGGACCATATGGGACCGTTTGTCCCACGCAAGAAGCGCAACCAACACCTCTTGGTTATCGCTGACAACTTGACTAGGTGTGTACGGCTTTTCGCAACACGAGACACACCATTCAAGCACGTCCTGCGGGTTTCGTAGGAATTTATAGTTGAGCGAGTACTGCTGTAAAGTATTATTACAGACCGAGAGAATTGTTTTACTTCAAAAATGTTTGAAGATTTTTGCACGACGCAAACTATACAACATGCTAAACTCCTCACGTCACCCACAGGCCAGAGGCCAGGTATACAGAGTGTACGTGTTAACCGCACACTGTGGCATGTCGTCACTGCAGCAAAATAGGATCCTGATCACCGAGATTGGGACGCAAGCCCCAAGCATGTAGAGTGCAGCCTAAATCATAGTAAACAAATCAAGGGGGTAACGCCATTTGAGCTGTTTCATGACTAAAAACTAAGTATTGACGAATTTACGCTGCGTGAGCTGGCTGCAGATCACGATGCTACATGGAAAAAACCCAGCGAGCTGCGAGCAAATGTGTGGCAACATCTACTGGAGGAAAAAGAACGAAGCAATCAAGAATACAGTCATCAACATTTTCCAGAGAGACTTTGGGACGTCGCAGTGAGTCTTCGTGAATAGTTCGCCCAGACACACTGGAAATTTAATAAAAACACAGCCTAAATGTAGAGGGCCTCTGGTCGTTACACAGATATTGCCCTCTGATACCTACAGAGTAGTGGACCTTGACCAGAAACCAGGCAGCAGATTTGCAACGACGAAACATGTCTCGAAACTTAAGGGATGTACCAGAACGTCCAAGGCACCTCACCTTGACGATGATGCAACATCCGAAGACTCGGATAACTCGCAAGAGTCCGCTAAATTATGACACTTAAGCCGGAAGCGTACTACAATAATCGCCACCAGATCGGTCTGTGCTTCTCTCGTCTCCCAAAGAGAGACACACTGCAACGATGAGACAGCGAATGGGTCTACTGTACTTCCGGTTGCCCGTCCTCGAGAGCCGGCACTTCGGGCCCGCCAACCCTGGTTGTCGGCCGACGCTTAAAGCTCGCAGTCAGAGTTCGTGTCGAGGCCTGCGTATCGTCCTCCCACACCAGTGCTGCGCAGGCTAGCTGTCCTGAGCTATCATAGCCAGAGTCTCGCTGCGGAACCACTCCGGGATCGTCATGGCCCAGGCCGGTATGTCCAAGTTTCGCCGTTCCCTCCGGTCCTGGTCAGAACCTCGCTGGTGAACCGCTCTGGGGATCGCCATGGGCCAGACCAGCTTGACCGGCTCCATCGTCCCCCCCCCCCCCCCCCCCCCCCCCAGCCTCTCGCAGCACGCACTGTCTCGTGCTATAGCTCGACTCTCTTCGGCCGACCGCCTGTCACGTGCCCTCCGCCCCGTCGTCTTCCACCCTTTGCGAGACTGTTTCCGAAATAAATTGCTTTTGTGTGTTCTGTTCTTTTTTCTTACGCAGTTCTTTACTTAACGAGGACTTTAAGACCTCAGGACGGCCGAATGTAGGAATTTTCAGTGTTTTTGAACACATTGCTGCCGCCCCATGGTGGCAGAAGGAGGAGTACGATGAAAGCAACACGCTCTCGAGCGGCGAGGAGAGGATAACGTGTGCGCGTTTGCGGGAGTGAACCATTCGTCCACCTGTGCGGCAAACCTGTGCGTTTTATTAAACATTTCATTTATCTTTCGTAATCATGATTTCCAGGGAGTTCTTTGGGCAGTCGACCTCAAGTTAAAATGTAACAACATTTGTGATTTGTGCTGGTAAATATATTTGATACGTACGATAGGTTTTTCTGTAAGCTGGATTGGTTCATTTGTCTTGAGATATTATAAAACCTTATTTGCACTCGATTAGTCCCTTTTTAATAACCCTAGATGAAGATAGCGACGGGAGCCGTCGAGAGGTTGTGTTCGGCAACAATATAATGTCAGCGTTTTTGGTAAAAATACGCACTCGCTTTAAGGAATTGTTTGGTTCAGTAGTAGAGCTCGGTAGTCTGTACATACTTCTTTAAAAATAATCGATTTTACAAAAAAACTAAGAAACATATTTGGCTTTATGAATTTATAAAGCAGCCCCCTCGGCCCCATCTCACTCTAGAAATATTTGTATTTCACATCGAGACACTAGTGGTAGCATTCCACGCTTATACACGTGTGTATGGGTGCTACTTCATGAATGGTCGAATTATCTTCAATATTTAGAGGCCCCACACACTAGCGACGACCTTTCTTTGTGTTCATTTTTAGGAAGAAGTTCCAGACGAGGCCCTCTTTACCGGCCCTCACTTTTATAGACGGCAACTCAGAAGATTGCGGTTCAGGATGGAAGGTCGAGATAACTGGCACTCGGAAGGCTTCATGCACCCGTGATGAAGACATCGTGATGTGTGATGCACTCTACTACGTCACGAACTCCCAGCTCTCTTTAAATGCTCAGTTATTAATTCTACCGCAATAGGTGTTTTGTTCCAAAAGTGCAGTGTCCCTGGATATTGTTGAATGAAAAACCGAACATCTATTATGTGGTGAGGTATATATAGGCAATATCACTGTCAAGGACAAGTTATCCTGTATTGTTCAGATATATAGTATGCGGAGCACAGGTTCGCCTGTTTCTCTTGTAGGGGTTGTGGTGACGTCGGAGCGTCGAGCTCTGATTGGCTGTGATTGAAGGATAGTGGGTAGACCTCAAAGTAATCTGCCTTGAGGTCTACCCACTATCCTTCAATCAGGACCAATCAGAGCTCGGTGTTCTGACGTCACCACAGCCCCTGCAAAAGAAGCAGACGATCTTGCGCTTCGCGTAGGATTGTTTTAACCGTTGTGCGCTGGTTCTTTGAAATCAGGACATCCGTCGTCGGGGCCGTCGCGTGTTTGCTGGTTCTTTGTTTAATTAATGAACTATAATTATTTTATTACGCTGAGTTGTAATATTTTGACAGCGCTGTACAACGTGGTGGCGTTTTGTACCGTATTTCGACCGACGCAGCACAGATTTGTTGTTTCGTACAAAAATAAAGTGTCTGAGACACGAGACACTACAACTCGGAGAGCGCGTCTGAGGAACGGATTCTACGAGGCTAGCGTCGGACGTTTCAGACCATAGCCTATGCTCAGACACTTTATTTTTGTTTGGAACGACAAATCTGGTGCGTAGGTCGAGCGCACCGTTTAAAGGTTTCAACTAATGGCGAAAAGTATAGGCATACAACTAGGGCTGGGCGTCGATTTAAAATTTTAACCCGATTGATCGCCCCCTTTTTTTTAGTTAATCGATTAATCGGTGTCATTCATTTTTATGCTCAATATTTTTAAGTCAAAATTACACACATTCTTTGTTGTTTTTTTGTTTCTGTATGACTATGTGTTAAATGACGCCAAATACAATTTCAATTATGAATCAACTTTGATACGTAGATGAGAACAGTTTAAAGACACTCACAGATTATTACTTCAGCTGCAGGAAACAAAAGAGGCTCATTGATATTCTCCGGTCAAGAGCGTACTCCTTTGATTCTTCACGATAGCCTCTGTTGAACTAAAAAATGGACACTCGCTCGGCTGGATCACGCGTAACCTTCTGCACTTGTCTGGAGTTTAAAAAAATCGCGCCCTTACACTTCACTTTCGGCTAAAATTTCACCCAAAGTTTGCCCTAAACATATGTGTATACGTTCATTTGCTGCGTGGTGAAAGCGCTTCATTTGTACATTCTTTTTGTTCGTCAAAATTTTACCGAATACTAGTTAAAAAAATTAATCGCGAGTAAAGCAATAATCAATTAATCGGTAGGTTAATCGATCAATTGCGCACCCCTACCTATAGCGTAACCTCTAAAATATTTCTACAGCATGTATACCTGTATCAAAGGTTACACTCTTACAGCTAGGTTAAAATCTAAATGATAAAATAGAGGTATAATAGGATTTAAAAATGTGCACCTATACTTTTGGTTACCGAGCTTAGATTGCATTGGCCCCCACGCTACAATGAGTTTGAGATCCCTGGTAAAGTATATGTTTGAGTACCAGCTTACCTCAAATACGGACGTGATCTTCAGTCTGTAAAGTACGGGTATATCGACATAAATCGTGAAAGGGATCAGCAGTAAGGCCGCCACTGACGACGTCCACCCCATGTGAAGGCCATAAGCGTAAAAGTGGGCATTGAACGCGATGAATCCCGTGGACGACATGACGGAGGCCAGGGCGGACAGGGCCAATGGAACCATCCGCAACGTCCGGCTGCCGAGGAACATTTCATCGATGGTCAGACGGCCTGTCCTCTTGAAGGCAAGCACTAGGCCTAATCCAATAACGGTGACGGTGAAGAACGCGAACACCGCAAACTCGACAGGGTGCGTCATTGGCCTCGACACGCTGACCGCAGAGTCTGTCTCGAAAGAGAGTTCTGCACCAACTGTAACGCACCAAGTCCGACTGATATTTCTGCAATTCTCCCTCTCTCCCCCTCCCCCCTTTTTCCCCCGGGCGCAGGTGTTCGTTTGGCTAATTTTGTTTTATCCGTCCCTCCCTCTATATATCTCTTTTTTTTTTCTAAATTGGTTCATGGTCCTGTACACCAACGCACGGCTCTGACATCGCGCAACTGTGGTGGCGTCGCTGTCGGTATGGCACACGCACAGTTTCTCACTTCACGCCAAAACTGCGCAGGTGCAGTTCTGGCATTTATGTAGCACAAGTTCTGGACGGCCTCACAGACCACAAAAAAAAAGAGGATAAAATAAACATATGTGTACTTGCTACATTGAATGACTAAGGTTTTTATTGCGTAGCGCCGTCATCGCCTTTCGCCGAAAACTGTACATGTTTGGACAGATGGGATCTGTTTATTGGAGATATTGTGAGTCCGGAACTTGCAGCTGTTGACATGTCAGCTAAACAGTGGGAGCTATATAGTTATGCACACCGTCGTCCTATAAGAATCTATTTGATTTTAGAGGTTTGTAGGCAGGCATACGCAGAGTTCTGCACCCGGCCACGAATTCCATTTAAAAAAGTTACCTTTTTGCAATACGCGTAAATAAAATAAAAAATCAAGGTTGTGATAAAGTTGTATAAACGGTGTTTATCTTTGCACAAGTTGCTAAATTGCAAACTCAAGCCGACTGGTCGCAGGTAGGGTTTTAAAATTCTGATTTTTTATCAACCGTGCAATGTGATTATTTTGTTAAACCACTAACCGAGCTACACATTCACTCTGATGAGACTGTGCACTCTAATAAAGGCCCGTGAGTCAACTTTCCGTCAAGTAGTCGAATACTTGGACGAAGTTCGGTGAAGGACAACAGCAAAAATGAGTTTCAACTTGAAATTAAGTATGGGTTGTGACCATGAGCATGCACTTAAGCCGTGAAACGTCATACTCAATGTCGCAACTCAGACATCCTTTTTAATATGATAAAACGACCTAAAATTTAAATAAATAAAAAAATCACAGACTTTATTTTCTAGTACAGTAATTGTATTTCTTACTTCTCTATGGCAATGTGTTTCAATGCCGTTTTGAAATTGGTAGAAATGAAGAGAAAGCGTAATTTTGTGACAGCCATATTTATTTATTACAACATACAGTCGCTTCAAAAAATCAGGCACGATAAAAAGTGGCACACACACAAACAGTTTGCACTTGTGGTGTACAGGCGCGTTTAACCAAAGCACGAAGCAGAGCGTGAATCCTACGATCTACTCCAAACTGCATTCGATAAAACAACTGGACAGGCACAGAAAGAAAACACGCGCACACTAAAATAAAAACTAACTAGACGGAGTTGTAAAAGCTGAGCAGTGCAAAACAATATTATATGCGTGAGAGATAAATTAGAGTTTAGACCGCCTCGGCGGTAAAAAGGCCTCTTTCGCCGCCTGTCACCAAGAAAAAAATAACATACGATCGACTTCTGTGACATTCGCGCTAATGCAAATGTAAGTGGTGCGGAATAGTTCGCACCCATTCCGTCCCTTTCTTTATGACTTTATGTAGTTCAGGGCCAAAAAAGACACATTTAAAACAAAGGTTTGCGCGTTTTAGTTGTAAACCGCTTTGTTGAAATTGTAGAATTCGTTAAAAGCTGGTGGAGGCTGCGGCCCCGCTCCACAATGGGCAGCATGAGCCAGCGAAGCCCTTCATACGACATAGTGCATCTTAACTTGTTATTCACGTGAGTGCGCTTAGAAAATGTCCTTTCGCCCGAGAAACTCCTATTATTGATTGTGGACAATTGTTGCAGAGCGCGATTAAGTCATTGGCGGGCATGCTGCTTGCTTTTTTATTGCCAGTTCGAGATTTTAGGAGCCGCATTTCAGCACGTAAGCTGTCAGGATCTATTTTAAAAAAATAGCTACAAATAAGCGCTATTCGCTCGTCTTCCGCAGATGGCCCCAGGAGGTTCTGCGTGGCCCACACAAGTTCAAAAGCCTTTTGTGTGAACCTTTCCTCATCCCTTAAATAAAAACTTCAAGCAAACAAAAAAGAACCGGCACAGAGATTTGTTTTTACATGAAAACATTTAATTGCCAAATTATTATTATTTTGAATTGAAATTTTCTTCCTTCGAATTTCTGGAATCTCAATTTAACATATATAAAAAACTCCCGAAAGCATCCTTTACGAAACTATCCCATCTTGCCTCATTGAACGCAAAGCATTTTGTGGATAAGTATCTGACTTCAATCAAGTGCAATGGTGGGGTTAATTTTAGGGTTCTGGAGAGCTCGACTAACCTTCAAAATAAGCTGACGAGCAGGCTGGGCTATGTCTTTGCAGCCCACAAAGTCAAAACTAATAAACTGAGAAAGAGGTACTTTCCTTTCGCTCTCGTCTCCGAGTGCTTCGTAGAGCACACAATCTCCCTTACTGCAGTCAACAACTCAGTGTAGCTCCCTCGAACTCGCGAATAGCTTTTAGAGCTTCAGCACGGCGGCCCACCTAGTCGTGAATAAGGACTTCGAAGTTTTCAATTTTGTTCCGACAGTTTGGCAATGCCGCTCAAAAACACCAAGGCGCACAACAATGCTTTCAATGAAGTTGTACAGAAATTGCAGGATGCCAAAAAAATCAAACAGTATTCTGTTTTCTGCGCGTGACAAACAGGCATCGACAAGCACCTGGTTTAAGCAGTGGGCATAACAGTGTATGTACAGGAGCTTGTTGTATTGCTCTCGGCACTTCGCCAAAGAAATGTGGACAGACACAGTGGAAGCCTTGTCAAAGCAGATGGAACTCCCAGAGTGCCAAGACACACTGATTCCACTGAGAACACCTTGCAGCGTGGAAAATATCAATACGTTGCCTAAATCTGTAAGTATTTCAAGAGCAAGGAACACCTCATCAGGCCTATCCTTAATCTCGAAAAAGTACCTAATAACAACGGAAGGTTGCTCATGATGACCGCATTCACTTGTTTCGTCGCATATGAGCGAGGTCGTTTTCCCTTGTATGTGCTGGATAATCTCAGACATCATGGCGGCATGCCGTGTCTCCTGGATATCATTTTGTATTCTGTCTCAAGTGAAAAATGCGTTCTTTGGGGCTGCCTCCAGGTGATTCCGCAAAACAGTGTTGTACTTTAAGAGATTAACTATCTCTGAAAACAAACCTTGCTCTGCACTTTCTTCATTCTCAGTGCGCCCTCTAAATGGTCTTCCCCTGTTTGCGAGAAAAACACCAGTATCAGTTAGGCGCTTTAGCACCTCGCAATTTCTTTTGTGCTTTTCTTCATCTTGAGACACTGGTCGTTCGAAGCCCTCATCTAGCATTGGAGCTCTTGGCGTGTTTGCCTTGAAGCAATTCCATGACATGACAATGTTCACATGACCCTCAGATTTTTCATGATGATTACAGCTTGAATACTTAGAGCTTTCTTCAGGTTCGAAACTCAGTTGACACGAACGATGAGTCTGAATGCCCTTTTTAAATACCGCCACCACTCCCCTGGTGGAAACGCCCGACAACAAAAGCAAAATGCCACGTCTTTCTTTTTTTTTTTTTTTTGGCCTGTATTCCAATTAGTCGAACTTCCCAAACCAGCATTCCCACAAAACTGCGATTTCGATTATGAATGAAAGGATGGATGAATGATAACGGCGGTGCTCTAATGACGGGCGGTAGCTTGCGCCATATGGCTTAGAAATTAAGAAACAAATGTATAATTTCTTTCCTTCGCAATTTCTCAACTTACGATTAGCGGAAAACCCACGAGATGCCCTACTAATACAAGAAACGAAATGTAACACCATCTCTTTAAGGGGATACAACAAATTTTTCACGCCGTCTATTTACCACAAACAAAAGGGCAAAACAGTAGTGCAAGCACAAGCTGGGATATACCTCGACAAAGAGCTCCCTTTCACACAAATAGACACCATCAAATGGTGCAATGCCTCTCAAGAAGTCGTAGCGGTCCGAAGATAAGCGACAAAAGAATTTGTCTTGTGTCCACGTACGCCAGACCAGGCACCCTTGAACACGAGCACGATGACTATTCGTGAATGCAAGAAATTAGACGGTCCTTTCCCAACGACGAGATGGCAATCGGTGGAGACTTTAACGCTCCAAACACGGAATGGAACTACAGAACAACCTCCGTCAGGGAACAGAAACTGGCAGAGGCATACGAAAGGGCAAATCTACTCTTAATCAATGACTTATGAGTCAACACCAGATATGCCACAATTCAGAAGCACGAAGATACCACACCAGACCTGACTTTTACTACACAGAAAATCAAAGCGAACTGGGAACTGATCAAAGACAAATGGGGAAGTGACCATCACCCCATAGAAATTCAGGTCGAAAACGTCGCAAAGCACAAGAGGAAAAGAACAACAAGGACGGTCATATGGGATAGATTCAGAGTAAAAATGACTGAGGATTTACAGGACGAATTCATTGAAGAGTTCACCAAACTCATGCTAAGGGCCACAGACGTGGCCACCGAGAAGCGGCAAGTCGACTTCGACGCACCAATCCCAGACACCAGACTGCTGTCTTTGTGGCACCAACGATCCAAAACGCTCGATAACTACAGACAAACTAAAAACCCAATAAGCTCAAATTAGTCAGCGAGTTAACGACTGAGGCCAAAGAATACTCGCGGAAACTAAGTCAAGACAACTGGTTTTCACTATGCGAATCGTTTGACGAGCGTACATCGCTTGCAAAGTTATGGGAAACTTTTAATGCCATGTTCGGAAAGACCCAAAACCAAACAAACAGTAACAAATATGGCCCTCGGTCAAGATCACAATAGAAGAGATTACCGAAGAAACGGGGCCGATATTCTTCACCCAAGCGGAAGCGACACCAGATCAACAAATATACGAGATCGAAGATGTCGACGTGAAC